TTATTCTAACAATATAGCACAGTTAAATCCAATTGCTTGCCGTTGTCTTTCCACCTAATCCCAACCCCATACATTGAATCGCTCACCGCTCGGCGAACCTGAGTATCCCTGAAATACTGGGATACAACACCTTGCAACTCCTATGTTCCCATATATAGGTGGAACATTATACAGATCAATATGTTTTCTCGTATGTGGGCCTTGCGGCCATTCTATGTAAAGGTTTCCTTAGGCTTAGTGCCTGGAGGTACTTTCCTTTTCTATTGCGATGTCTTGGAAGTATGTGTGTATATATATATATATGTGTGTGCCCTCAGAGTACTCTGGTCAGTCAGTTCGGGACCAGGGGACCTATCTGCAACACACATGTACTTTCAAAATGGTAGCTTCACGCAGATGCCCGTCACATAGGATTCGGCAGGCGAGTGGCCCTACACGCCCTGCCCTCAGCCCTCTGGCTGAGTTCTGGTCTTCCTTTGACCCATACAACAAACCTACAGTTTTGCGTTTTCGGTCTGCTCCATGGGATGATCTCCTATAGGATGACGAAATTGACTGGCCCACCGAAACATCTTTGGATACCCATGGTGAGAAACTTCAGCAACCGTCTGAAGATATACAAGACGAAGCCGATCTTCAAGCATCGCCACAATTTAACCTCATAGAAAGGCCTCCACCACCAACCCACTATCAGTCGGTAGCCATTCCATCCTTGCCTCACATCACCATTGACGATTCATATTACCATGAGGTAATCACAAAAGGAGTTAATCTTCCAGCTCCCTCTGGGGCTCCGTCTGTATTTCAACCAACCAGACCAATGCCCCTTCTCCAACAAGTTGTCAACGATTTGGAACAACAGGGCCTACTTCGGCGAGACCGTAACATAACTTCTGCGTTCCGCCTCTTCTTAGTACAAAGGGCAATGGCTTGGCCCGTCCAATCTTGGACCTTTCACCGTGGACCCTTTGGTACAGAAAGCCACCAATAACATTATACTCTGCGGCACAGGTGCTTTCTACCATTCCGCCTCATGCTGAAATGTTCAAACTAGATTTAAAAAGTGGATTTTACTACTTCTGCATCTCCAGTGACACACAGCATAACTACGGAATTTACTACAATGGCATTCGCTACGCATGGACAAGACTACCCATGGGCCATCCATTGGCCCCATCCGTCATGCAGAGAATAAGCACAGCTGTTACTCGCCACTTATACAAGAAATCTGCCATCACCATGGTAGCATACCTGGATGATTGGCTCTTCTTTTCAGAGCAAGATGAGCTTCCAGTTCCAGCCATCATTCAGGAAATTCAGTACCTCGGGTTTTGCAGAAATTTTGATAAATCAATATTATACAAAGTCACCAACATTGTTTATTTGGGCCTTCAGATTAACTGTGATACAGGAACAACGAAGCCAACACCCGCCTGTTTGGTTCACTTGCGCCAACTTCTCACACTGGTCCCGCATGCTTCCAGACAAGACCTCGTCCGGATAGCGGGCTATGTGTCATGGCTCACATGGGCCATGGCCTGGCCCCAGTTCCTGGCACAATTCATCACACAACGCAATGTTACATGGATCACCATGCTCATGTTGGCGGGCGTTCTCAACACAGAGCGTCGATTCCATCCGCCTCTAGTTTCTCGTCAGCTGTATACAGATGTGACGCAAACCTCAACTGCGGCCCTCTCCGTAGGACCACCACGGCAAGAACTAGTGCGACATTACGCTGATCAAAAGCCCATAGCTTGGGCCGAAATGGCGGCCGCCCTTAGAGGATTAATTTAGTTAATGGATCAGTGCTTGGTGCAGCCAACAACAGTGACACTGCAGTAGACTCTGCAGTAGTGTATCATACGCTTGTGAAGGGGACCGGGGTTACACTCTGGTCCTCTCAGTTATTACAAAGTTTGTATATAATGTGGTTAATAAAGAAGATACGGGCAGGCCACTGCCTGGTTGTCAGATGGGTTCCATCTGGTCTGAACCTGGCGAACCCCCTCTCTCGAGGCGTGCACACCCCCTAAACAGGGTCCGCCTTAGGCCTATAAAAGGCACACATACTCGAGCAAGGGTGTCAGTCAGTTCAGGACCAGGGGACCTATCTGCAACACACACGAAGGCTTCATTCTGACACTGGTTGACCCACTTTGTTGAGAGCTTCGCCAGCCAGCTGGCCTCACTGATAGCAGCATTGACTAGCTGCTACTGCAAGTTTTACATCCGGCTTCAGAAAACGGTCCTTTTAAGGGCCTTCAATAGCAGTGTCATCACTAGCCAAGGCTAGCCCGCTATGAAGGGAGTCTCCACCAGTATTATTCAGACATGCTCCCCACTGTCTGTAGTACCCACTCTAAGAGCAATATGAATTGTATTCTGGAATGCCAACGGGCTATCAAATCATAAACTAGAACTGCGAAACTTCTTACAAATACACAAAATTTATATTGCATTAATATCGTAGAGGCATTTTACTACCAGAACAGTGTTTAAAATACCATACAAAGTCTATCATAGTCATCATCCAGATGGTACTGCACATGGGGGTGCAGCTGTTATAATATGAAGTGCACTCACCATGAACTACTACACCACCAGTCAGAAAAAATACAAGCTGCCAATATTCAAGTTGATGCTAACACATTACCTTTTACAATTTCTGCAATCTATTGTCCTCCCAGACATGCTATATTTGCTGAAGAGTAGACAGCGGTTTTCCAGGCACTGGGATCTAAATTCGTGAGAGGTGCAGATTAGAATGATAAACATAAGGAATGGGAAATGAGGAAGAAATCTCTTACATGCCATAAATAGGCAAAATTCAGTACTGGCAAACTGATGTATTGGCCATCAGACCCAAAAAAGCTGCCACACCTGTTGGACTTTTTTATACTCCATGACATAACATCCAACTACATGCAAGCTGAACCCGGCTTCAAGCTATCGTTGCACCATTCTCCTGTAGTCGCAACTATAAGCACACACGTGATAAGTAAATCAACTATTCCAATGCTCATCACAAAGCAAACAAATTGGGACAGCTTCTGTACATACACAGAAAAACACATACACTTGAACCAAAGAATAAAAGAACCAAACAAACTGGACGAGACAACTTAGTACTTTACCACCTTAATACAGGCAGCAGTGTGGTATTCAAAACCAACCCCAAAGAAGAAAGAAACAGATAATATCCTTTCTATATATGAGAGCTCGTAACCAAAAAATGTAGAGCAAGAAGCAGATGGCAGAGTTGAAGAAACAATGATGACAGGCTCATTTATAACAGACTAAGGCAAAAACTATATACTGCCTTAGCAAATGTGAAAAACAGAACATCTGAACACTACATCACATGATCACACAATCTGGAAGGCATCAAAGAGGCTCAAAAGATCCCAAATATCAATACTGCCGATAAGAAACTTCTACTTTATAAATGCATAATAAAACCCATATGAACATATGGTATACAGTTATGGGATTGCAAAAACCATCAAACACAAAAATAATTCAAAGATTTCAATCTGAAGTCTTGCACTTAATAACCAATGTACCTTGGTATGTTTCCAACTTTACTCTCCATAATGATCTGTAAATCTCATTTGTCATAGAAGAAATACATTGACTGTCAACACTCTACCATCAAAGCATACTTGGACACAATAACAGACTAGTTACAGAAATCAGCAACCCAACAAACATAAGAAAAAGACTGAAGAGAGAGTGTCTGTCTGACTACCATAACCTGCAAATGAAGAAAGCTAAAGCCATTATAATTCTGCTACAGGGCCTGTAAAAGCATCATCAGTGGATGATTTCTCTACTCAAGACACCCACTTAAAGCAAATTTATTTATTACTCCATAAAGTCAGGAGTAGATTGTAAATATGCAACTTATATGTTAATAAAAAGAATCATCTTGAACAGCTAAGGAGGTCAGTGCAAACACTGATCTTTTATGAGCAGTACGTTTTATTGCCAATAGTTGTGTGAAGTACCAATACCATTCAGAACTGGTTTGCTCACTGTGATTTTAAACTCTCAGACTTGAGATTCTGAATAAGGCTGATAGTGAAAATTACATCATATTGGAAATACACCACATTGGAAATTTAGTTTTCAATCATCAACAACAGTCTTCAGTGTTATAATGAAAATGAAATTGCAAGAAAGTAACTGTTGTATTAATTATGGCAAAACACCATACCACATCAAAAGATCAGGAAACCACTGAGCATGAAGGAATGACCAGCCAGGATGCCAGGAAATTTACTGCTGGACTACAACCTTATTTCATGCAGGAAGAGAATGAGGGCAGTTTTATCTGCACCAGAAACCTGCACTCATTTTGTTCAATTGAAGTCAATCAAGAAAACACAGCAGGAAACACTCAGCTGATTCCTCCACCACTAACTCTTAAGCAATGTATGCATGTTTAAAAGGAAATGAATCAAATTTGTTTTCAGGGTAAATATTTTTCTGTGATTTGTACCAATGGTTTCATCTCTTCTAAAGTCAATAATTCTGTTACTCAATAAATGGAAAGCTTATCTTTCATCTTATGTACACAGACCTTTTCAACCCTTTACATGCAATTTCATATATTTTGGGCAGCTGCTTAAATGGGGCAAAGTACTCTAGTCCTGATGTGTCAAAATTAACTGGAATCCACTGTATTCACACCAAACTATTACTGTTTGCTAGGAATGTACAGGATGTACCACTTAAAATGCAACAAACAATATTCACACACTACAGTACCTACAGAGATGAGATCTGAAGCCATTCCCCTTGTGTAATGGACTCTCCCACTGCTTAATGACACTCAAGTCAATGTCACCCTGGTTGCTATGTTGCTGACATTACTAAAGTTAATGTTACTGATATAAAACTGGAGCCATGCAAACTCTTATATAAGGACACACTGTGAAGGAAGAATCTTGTACTGACATGGTTTCAGGAACTAGTGGTTAAAGGAATTCCCAATCTACAATGTACTCTTTTATTTTTATGTGGGTGAGTCTGCTCTAAGTGGATACATGAAGAGTCACAGAGAGCTGCAAATGGAGTGCAGAAAATCATCTTCCTGTTTGTGAAGTCTCCTTCCACAGTCTGAAAGCTGGACTCTGGTATGCCAATCAGCATTCACGGAATATAGGGTCTGAGATTTTTTGAAGACACTACAACATTACTCATCGCACTGTTCATCAAGGAACAAATGAAGTGAAAACTTATGGGTCCTTCTTACAGGATGATGTTACGGCCCACATGACAAGTAATCCTATGAAGGCACTGGCTTAACTATGTTGTAAGTGCGTGATAAGTTGAGAATGGTGGCCTCCTGTCACCAGATACAAATCTGTTTTATGTTTACTTAAAAAGCACACTGAAAGTTAGTGTATGCAAACAGTCCTCAGTGAGTTCAAGAAGTGAGAGAGAGCATTCAAAACAATTTATGCTATTTGAAGACAAGAGCTTTGTTCCTTGCATAGAAATACTTTCACATGAATCAAGACCTGCTTAGCAGAAGATGAACACTTAAGGTATTTTCTTTAAAATAAGATGAGTAACACAGGCAGTGACATACACTCAAAATCTCATTGTCTTTTGGCTGTATGACACTTGGACAAATGATAAGATGAACTCAGATTATGGTCTTCTGGGCTGTGACATAGGCATCTACTTACAAGATGATGCAATGTCAAAATTCATACCATAATCTGAATAATCACCACCATAAAATGCTCTAAACAGAATGCAACAGTTCACAGATGATCTTTGATCAGGATACTTGAAAGCACTCTGCTATCAGTGACTATATCAGCAGAGAAAATACACTCTGCAGAAGCATACGTTAACTTTATAGATCGGATGTTGGTGGTGGAGACCATGCACGTTACCCCTCTAGAGGCTCTACTTGAATCTGAAAACTACGATATTCCAGGATAGGACACCATGTGATCCAGCAGAAGTTCACTGACACTTCAGAGAAATGTAACATCTCCATCTTCAGAGTTGAATATTAAGCTGATCCAGTACCCAACGAGGAGGCGATAAACTGCTATCAAATTACATGGTATCATATCTCAGAACATTAAATCCAATGCAGACCAGATGATTTTGGACAAGTTACATATGTTGTCCAGAAAATAAAGGCTGTTTTGTAAAAAAAAAAGTGGGGAAAAAAAAACTTCACATCATTACTACAGACCTTAAATTGTTTTCCACATAATCTCCATGAAGATTCAGGCACTTGTTATATTGTGTGATGAGTTTCTGTATGCCTCACCAGTCTACTGGTCTACTTCTTCATCGCTAACCATGTGTGTGCTGCCCAAAAACTGCTTCAAGTGTGTGAACGAGTGAAAATCACTTGGAGCCAGATCCGGAATGTAGGGTGGATGCACGAAAAGGTCCCAGGCAAAGCCAGAAATTAGCACATGTGCTAGTGGCAGTATGCATGGGTGTGTCATCATGCAGCAGAACCACTCCAGTTAACAGCTGGCCTCACCGGCAGTTCTGTATGGCGCATCATAGTTGCTTCACGGTTGCACAATATGACACATCACTGATGGTTTGGCCTTTTGGCATGAATTTCACATGAAGCATGCCTTTCCAGTTAAAAAAAATATGTGGCAAGGACTTTCCGAGTTGACAATGTCTGTTTGAATTGCATGGGTTTTAGTGGTGAATGAGAATGATACTACTCCAGAGATGGACATTTACTCTCAGGGATGATGTGTGAAACCCATGTTTCATCTCCTGTGACCATCTGGTCTGAAAAAGTATTGCCATCTTACTGATAATGCACCAAAAATGTCAAAGCACCACCCACATGCTTACTCTTGTGCTTTTCAGTGAGCACTCATGGCACCCATCTTGCACAAATTTTTTTGTAGTAGAGATTCTCCGTAACAATTTCATGAATTAGTGTTCAAGAAATCTGAAGAAATTTCTCATCAATTTTATCAAAAGTGAAATGCCTGTTTGTCCTGATGTGTCGATCAGTCTTGCTTTTTCAAGTCCTCAGTGATGAGGGACAGACACCAAGATTGCTTCTTGTCATGAACTCTTCTCCAGCCCTTATCAGACATTCGACACCACTAGAAAGTGACATCTGACTCATTCATTACACCTTCTGCATATAAAGCAATAAGTTGAGGTAAATTTCAATCAGGCAGACATTTTGCTTAATCAAAACAGAATTACAGCTCGAACTTCATGATTGGTGGGATTCTTGATTTCCTTATTCATTTTGAAACATTACAAAAATTGCAAAATGATATAATCAGCATGCATGTCACTCACTTGCCTTGTTAATAAAAGATTACTGAGGCCTGCTAATCTTGCAATGGTGCAATTCGTTGACCTGCGCAAGTGCTTTGTGTAAACGGTCTTCACTTTCTGAATGATTGTTGTATATGAGCAAGAGAAAAAATGAAATCCATATGCTAATTAGGCATTCATTTGTATGGCATAATGTAGGACAGCAGAAAGTCATGGGTTCAAAGCTTGATATGTGGCACAATTTGTCACTGATCCAAAAATGGGTATAAGTGACACAAAGAGTGAATGAGTTTGTACGCTGGGTATACTCATTCACTACACCCCATTAAAATGGATCATACGTTCATAAAACCACTTAAATACAGTTTTCTCACTCTGAGAAAATTATGTCATGAACTTTCTTCCACTGTGGCAATATTTAAATGTACAGAAGTGCCAAAGTAAACTCTTCATGAGATCAGTTGAGTTCTTCACTAGACCAACTTAGCTACAACTTTACAATTACAAAAAGTATGAAAAGAATTAATGTGACTGATGCAAGAACAAGAATGCATACCATCTTCCTGTTTTTTTTCTGGTAATTGTCAGCCTTTTGAAGTTGCTGGTAGCCTTGATGTACCTGGATTTGGCACTGTTCAATATTGTAGTCTATCCTGTCCAGGACTGTACCCTAAAAGAGACAGAATGGGTTATCATACTACTAGACGCTTTAATAAACAGATCAGTTGTAACAAACATTGTTTTCCATACTCGAAATTTTTTCAGCCAAGCAAATCAGATCTTTCACACTGTTGAGACAATCTTGATATGTGAATTGTGTTTATATATGGATCAGATAGGTAATTCAATAAGCAAGTTACAAATGGATATAGAACTTAAACAAATAAGAGTACTGATTTGAAAAATGCTTTTATTTCTCAACATAATCTCCCTGTTCACTGAGGTACTTGTCCCATTGTTTCACAAGCCCCTGAAAACCAGCAGCATAAAATTCTTTGGGCTGCTGTCAGAGCCAGGCGGTGACTGGGATCATGAAGACATACTGCCCACCACATTCCAGCCTCAATGACAAACCGTAAATGCCGACTCCTACTGTAACATCCTCAGGAAACTTCATAAGGCCATTCAATGGAAGTGACCAGGACTCCTCACCAAAGGCGTGTTGCTCTTGTATGACAACGCGTGTTCCCATACTGCCAACAAGACAAATGAGACGCTGCGAAATTTCAAGTGGGAAGTCCTCAAGCATCCTCTGTATAGCCCCAACCTTGCTCCAAGCAACTTCCATTTGTTTGGCCCTCTTAAACATTTTCACAACGATGAAGCCATAGGAAGGGAAGTCACCGCCTGGTTCCAACAGCAGCCCAAAGAATTTTATGCTGCTGGTTTTCAGGGACTTGTAAAACAATGGGATAAGTGCCTGAATGTACAGGGAGATTATGTTGAGAAATAAAAGAATTTTTCAAATCAGTACTCTTATTTGTTTAAGTTCTATAACCATTTTTAGCTTACTTATTGACTTACGCTCATATTTCCAACTTTAAACATCTCCATGCAAAGACTTAAGATCAACAGTCATTAAGAAAGTCACTAATATCTAATTTCCTGTATTCATACTTTGCTCATAAGACAGCACATTCCTTACAAGTCCTGCGTGTCATTATTAGTAGAAGTTAATTTTTATTTAATTGTGAATAGCTATATGATATCTGAGTCGATCACAGTGCCCACAGTCTAGGGCATGGATGTTTGTTTGCATTTACTCTGTCTGTGTTGCCCTGTGTAGTTAGTGGCCTTGCAGTGGGCTGATCCCCCATCCAAGGAGCCTTACTGACTATCTATATGATTACCACACTGTAAAACAGAGTCCAAGGTTCATCACATACCATAGCACCCACAGAGAAGGCATGAAATCTGAGCTTCCCACAAACAGTGAGTACTAAGATCAGGATCTTCCCAGAAGACCACTAGTATCTAATTATAATGCTCTGGAATATGTTTGTTTCTGGCAGCAGTCACAAAAGCTATATATAAATAAAACATATATAATGTTCCTGGCATTCCTTGAAATGTGTAGATGATTATATTAAGAGATATATTTGTAGACCTACTTATGCTCAATATTTGCCATGCCATAGCTCAAGCGGTTAGTCGCTGGCTTCCCACTGCGGCGGCCTGGGTTCGATCCCGGGTCTAGTCAAGTGGGATTTGTGGTGGACAAAGTGGCGCTGGGGCACGTTTTCTCTGAGTACTTCAGTTTCTCCTGCCAAACTGATTTTTCACATCCTGAATTCTTTATCTTCAGTAACACCAGCTGATAATAGTACTAGCATAATTACTTCATTAACTGAAGTTAAAAAATATCTCTATATTTTACATTATTAAAGTAATTTTATTATATTACATGCAGTAAGCTTTCAATTTCTGCCAAAATGGATGGGAGGAGAAGTGTACATTAATTAAAAACATTTGCAAATAACCACTAGCCATGTTACATTAAGTCCCCAAAATCACTTAATTATTTCTTACAGCTCATGCTACTGGGCACTAAACACTGTGACAAATAGACTTCCAAAGAAGAGTGCAAACCCTTCATTATATAAAAAATAAACTAGAAAGTTGCAATATGGTGAAAAGATGTAGTTTAACCGCTCGTCAGTGAGGCTTGAAGCCCACGTGTTGGTCGTCACTTCTCTAACCGCTCACTTCGTAGGGCCCTTTGCGTTGGTTGCCACTGTGTAACCGTCCTCCTTGCTCCTACGTTGTGTTCCACTTATCACCGTCCTCCCTCTTCTCGTGGATGTCGAGAAGTTAGGTGGGAAGGGAGGAGAATTGTGGTTGTTGGTGCTGGTAGGCGAGAATTCGCTTCCTGTACACTCTTAGGTGTCTCGCAAGTAGGGAAAGATGGGAGTAACTGGGTTCTGCTCGGTAACTGGTAGAGGTGAGTTCTTATCCCAGGGTCTTATACAGGTCTGGCTTGGGCAAGGCAGGAAGAATCTTTCACTACAGTCACACACACCTCTTCAGACTTTTGCACTTAGTAATTATTTAATTCCCTCCAGCTCACTGAATACAAATGAATCTCTAATGTTTACACTTAATTGTAATTAACATATAATACTTTCTTTTCTGAAGGAACGTAGTTGTAAATTTGAAACTGACTTCACCGAAGTTGGATGAAGACTCCTTGAGGTGGAATGCCCTCTCTATCTCTGAATACTCAGGTCCACGAACCACAGACTCCAAGAGAAGTCCACTCCTCCACTTTTGCCATTGGTTAAGTTTTCAAACTAGGAGGTTCCCTAAATTTGTGAATTTCCAATCATGTTGCTTTGCTATGTGATTCTGGCAGATGCTGACCTGATGCTAAGGTTGACAGTCCCTTCATGCATTACGTTCAGGGTATGAGGCTCCGGCTGTCCCACTTTTCAGTTATAGCTGTTCCAAGCTGTCAGCTCTCAAATTTTCAAAGACTTTCCGACTTTGCTGAAACTGCCAGAATTCCAGGAAAGTACCAGATGTTACTTCCTGTCCACATAGCAAAACTTGAACTATGTCCCTTCTGCGTGTAAGAGTTGGCTATCTGCCAGATCTCTTTGTATTAACTTAATATAGATTTACACGTAATTAATACAAATAGTCCACCAATTAGAATGAACGGTTACAACAGAGCCTACAAAAATCATTGTAAAACATCACAGATACATACTATCACTAAAACAGGCGTAATGGGAAACACTTAAAGGCTCAGGAACATCACTAGAATGATACTGAAACCTAATTAGTGTACCCACAAAAATGTTACCCAAGCTCCTGCAGTCATCCTGTTAACTAGCTGATGTGCACTCTTACAACACATGGCATATACCAAGACAGATGAAGAAGGGATGCCTAAAAAAGCATACATTTTCAGCATATGCTACCTTCACTTGCCCATTCTCCTTAAATTTAAACTAGATCATGTATTTCTTGCTAGACATCACTGAGATCTTAACACTTCGCGGACCAGACGCCTAGGCCTAGGTGTTTGGGTTTTAAACGTGGCAGACCGGCCGCCTAGATTTAGGCTTTTAGGACGCGTTATCTTGCAACACACTGTTCCTCGCTTTGGTGGCCACGTGTCTGTAAAAGTACTGCGTAGCTGACCTTCGGAATATTTGTTTTCTGAGTCAGCAACGTGACCATCTCTATTCCCCTCTCACTCTAAAGAAAAGTCCCTTTGTTCAAGTCGAAGCTTCTATGTGTGAGGCAAGATATTCTCAGTGTCAACATGGCTCAGAGACGAAAGCAGTTGAAGGCTCTCGGAGAAGAAGAAATCTGTAATTTGATCTCTGATGAGTTATCTGACTTGCCAACTGCTTCGTCTTCTGATAGCGAGGGCAGTCTCAGGGGCCACCAAAATATTGTGACCAGAAGAGAAAGTGAAAGTGACAGTCAGAGCTCCGATGAAAGTGCGAGTGCTAGCATTGCGGGGACAGCCACATGGGGTAAAGTGGACAAAACACCCACTTTGGGAAAGTTTACTGGTGATCCAGGGGTGAGACAAATGCCATCGGACCCTACGCAAGTGTCTGAAGTAGATGAACTGTTATTTGGAGATAGTTTCTTTGACATGTTGTGTCAGGAGACCAACAGATACTATCTCCAACACGGTGAGGCGTACGACAGTACCTATAAGGTGTTGAAGTGGGCGGATGTCACTTCAGCAGAAATGAAATTTTTTTGGCAATAATCATTCTAATGGGGTTTACAAAGAGGGATAATTTGAAAGACTATTGGTTCACTGATCCATTTTTAGAAATTCCCATTTTTGGCAAACTCATGAGTCGTAAGAGATTTGAACAGATATGGTGGTGTTTGCATTTCAATAATAATGAACTGCAGCCACAATCAACAGGCAGGCTTTTCAAAATTCAGTCCTTATTAGACTTTGTCGTTGAGAAATTTCAGACAGTTCATGAGCCAGAGCAGCAACTGTCTTTGGATGAATCTGTGATTCCTTGGAGGGGAAGGCTTCGTTTCCGAACGTATAATCCTGGGAAACTCACGAAGTATAGCCTACTTGTTCATGTAGTCATGGAAAGCACTTCAGGCTATATTGGAAATTTAGAAATATATTCCGGTGACGGCAAGAAATTGCAAGAAACTATTGTTTCCATTTTGGATCACAGTAAAATGGACGAAGAAAGTTGCCTTGTGGCTTATAAATTGTGCCCTTTTCAATTCATTTTTGGTTTTCAAAGAGCTAAACGAAAATTCAACTTTGAAATACAAGGCAATTCTCATGAATGTGGCAAAAGCCTGGGCTACAGACCTCACAGTGGCGGTAGAACCTGCGTCAGACACAGATGTAGTACGACCAGGACCATCTACTCCCACCCCACGGAGGCCTCATATGGACCCCCTTGGGCGATTCTCAGGTGATATGCGGAAACATACCCTCATGAAAATTGTGATGAGCTAACAATTGACGGGGAAGTATCCTTCTAGGCAGTGCCGTGTGTGCGCTGTGCACAAGAAGCAAAGCAAGACTTCCTACGTCCGCAAGTTCTGCGTCATGCCTCTTCACAGAGGGGAATGTTTCCAGAAATATCACACTCTGAAGCACTTCTAGGAGCTCTGGTAAGTCTTCTCCAAAAATTTTAGTTCATAAAATTAATTAGGAAATTTTATATTAATTTTTAAAGTGAACAGTGCACAAGTTAGGGTAGTAGGTTTAAAAACGCTGGTCCCCAGGGTGATTTAAATATTTAAATCACCGGTCCGTGAAGTGTTAAAGTTGTAGTTTATTATTCAACAAATGTCACCAATGTACCGTCTCATGTGCAATACACACAATGTGTCTCTGTACATTACACTGTGTGTATGTAGGAAACTTTTAAATAAGTTTTAGAAGGATGTGTTGCATGTGAGATGGTGAATCAGTGACACCTGTTGAATAATAAATGATGTGAAACAGGATGCTACAATATATTATTATTGTGCTTCATATTTCATCATAAATATGGTAAACTTCACATATGCCTGTTTTGATAACTGGGTAACTGGAATATTATGAAACCCTGTCCCCAAAAGGGGATATTTAGAAAAGAGGAACCAAAAGAGAGACAGGATGATGATAATAATGAAGTAAATATGTATTTATATGTTGAGACCCTGTCTCACTTTGTAATCTACAACAAGTTTATCTGGTTTTTCCATTCTTCACTTTTGAAGTATCTTCCTTCCATGGCATGTTCCACACCAGTAACACATCTATTCATATGTCTATCATATATTCAGTTTTCTGCTGGTGTCAAGTCCATTTTATTTGGCCACCTGGCACGCACTGATGATGTTCACGCTGATTTGTTCCAGTTATACAGATATTAAATATATCATCCACAGTAGTGTAGTTGGTTGAGGGGCTATGCTACAAGCTGGAGGTCGCGGGTTCAAGTCCCGATGAGGTCACTGAATTTTTTTTCAATTGACCTAATCTTTCCAGCCGCACTATGGCCCTAGCATTGACTCAGCCTCTAACAGAAATGAGTACCAGGAATTAATTAAATAATTTTCCTGGGGAGTAAAGTGTGGCTGGCGCATAAGGCTGACAACCTTACTGCCATCTTTGAGCTGATTGTCTAGATAATGTTGGACTCTCAATGTCTCACAACCCTACGGGCCTTCACGGCCTTGTACAGGGATAGCTTTACTTTACTTTTTATTTTTACTCTCGTATCATCATCCATCAGTAATTTGCATTTATAATACTGTCATGTGTTATTTACTACATATGGGGTTTGGATTGGTAAATGGATATACTGAACACTTGATACATTGTACCAACAAGTAACTACACCACTCCTACTAAATCACGCACCCTACTTCTCACTACAGCACATGCTATGTCTTCTGTGTTTTCACTAGCTGTTGCCTGGTAATGAATCCTAACAGTATCCTCTGTTTTCTATGTCCTTACTGGCTGGCAACTCTCTCACAACTAACTAAACTGTCAACTCTGAACTCATGACCCCAACTCCTGGCCAATGACTCCTAGCTGTGTTTCACTATTGCAGGCTTCTGACTTCTGACTCAGAACTTGTCTGTCTGCAGAACTTACTCAAAGCCCCAACTGGTTCTCCTCATATAGCTTCTGCATGGAACCAACAGAGAACACAGGTTCCAACAGTTCCTCTACTGTTGCGTTTGCATCTGTCGCTGTGGTCACGTAATTCAGATGCTATGGAAAAATGTTTAGAGAGCTGTTGCCTAGCAATAGACGTCTTCTCTGCTTCTGCTATTACAGCTTTCAGCAGACATGTCACAGTATGTTACGAAGAAAATAAATTTGTTAATTATGAAGTAGTTCAGGCAGTTTAAAACAAAGCAAATAAAACATCCAGACCTTTGTGCATTTCACTCACAATTCAAATTTTTATCAAACGTTACAAGGGGACGACAAATCAGAACAATGGACATTTCCTACAAATAAGTGTATACCTCAAAGGAATGGAAATAGAAAAGATGACATGTATATTTAGGAATGATTCCAGTAGGCTAATATATTTAAGCAGAATAAAGCTTCTATAAAATAGTCATTACCTGATCTGCAACCATGTGTGCAAGGTCTCTGAAAATTTCATTTACATCAACAATCGATTTGAATATCTGCCGCACTTCATGTTCTCTCTGAGCTGCCATCCGTGTGTTGTCTTCTTCAAGCAACAGAAGCTGCTGCTGGGCAAGAGAACCAGCCATAGGTCCCAGTCCAAACTGGTGGTCAATATTATATACCTCCCAATCAGCATCTTGTGGGAAGTCCTGATCTAATGCTGTGTCAAAATACTGCTTCGAACGTTCCTCTCTTGAGTTCAACTCTGTTAATGCACAAAACCACACATCATAGTATCAGCACTGTAACAGCCACAGAGGCTAAAATGAGAGTGTAATTACCACACATGCACCAATACTCAGGGGGCCTAAACTGTGGACTGGTACTAGAAATAAATGGCAGCTTGCAACTGTTTATCTAATGATTCCTTTAGCATACACATGCTGGGCTGGAAACATTTATGAAAATCTGGTAACTGGAACACTATGCCAGTTTCCAGAAAAAGGTGGATCAGTATTTTCTGGTGCCTCACTGTGGTTCTCACTGGTGCTCAGCATAAAAGATTAGTTTCTTCTCATCACTGTACTGTTTATTCTTAACAACTGCTGGTCACATGTAAGATAACGTTAAATGCATTAAATTTAAAAGAGAGATTAATTGATGAGTGTGACAGATAAGGTGTGTACCTCCAAAGAGCACTGGGGTATAATTTTTAGAAGTTCTGAGTCAAATAAATATTTAAAGCTGCTATTTTTGACTACTGTTTATGTCAATTTATAAAATTTTCAAATATACATAAATGTTTACGATACAATGGTTAAAGAAATAAATTCAAATTTTATCAATATGCCCTGTTTCTCACAAAAAAATGTATACTCTTCAGACTATTATATTTACATGCAACCATTCATGTTTTGTGTATTCTTACTGACTATTAATTATTACAAATTTCAGTACTGTCTTCACTTTAATTTTCAATATTAGATGGTCTACAAAGCAACACAATTGCATTTTCAATTTGTCTGATATAAGCAATTCAATAACACCATCTCATTATCAAGCAAGTTAGTTCAAGTGGTAACATTTCTCAGAACTACTCAAAAGGTTCCCAGTTCAAACCTCAGCCAGGATATAAATTATCCAGAATGACGTTTTTATGGTTCTCCTCAGTTCTCCAAAGCTACTTTAGGGATAGTATCTTCAATTAATTTACCACTGTTTCTACCGCACTTTTTCCAGTTCTTTATATTGTGCCATGAAGGCCCATTGTAGGTAACGGCTCCACAAATAAGCATGTTTCCACAGCAGTGAGAGAATACAGCAGTAACGGAAAAAGGGTTTCCATGTGGTCTGTGCCAAAAAAGAAACCCAGCCTCTCATCACAGAGGACGTTACATGAGGACTATGACTGCAATGGTACAGTTGGGAGGAGGGGGGGAAATTCTGGTTGTGAGCCTCATGGGGCTTGGAGCTAAAACAAGATGATTGGTGGTGAACCGACAGTTGTGGAGTGACTTTGACTTTGATTGTTGCAGTCAGAGCACTGCTGCATTTAGTCATTGTGAGCTGTTGCTGTTAGAAGCTGGTAGCTGAGGGTAGGACGGTCTGGGAATGCAGAGGAAGGGAACGTCCGCCATTGGAAACTGCTACCAAGCAATGGCAATGAAGACCTGACTGTGGACAATAATGTGTGTGTAATAGTGAATTGTCAAGTCTGGTCACACACTGTATCAAAGAATACAATAAATCCGATCATCAAACCACAACCAGTCTATAGTCACTTATCACGTGACAACTTGTGTCAGAAATGGGATAACTGGATTATAGAGGATTGGATTTGGTGAATAACTGGGCTGAAGGCACCGGATCGTTATACCACCATTCTATGGAGATGAAAGAAATGATGGCATGTCTGCTGGCCTAAATAAAAGCCACCTGAGAAGAAAGGACAGCAAGGTTGGAAGTCAAGATAGGGGCCAATAACGAGAAATGTGAGGTCCTTCGAGGTACTCTTGTCTCCTGGCTGAAAGCCCACCAAGCCAAGATAAAAGCTAACCATGAGGAGTGGATGTTATAAGCAGGTCAGTTTGAAGCAATGATGCAGTTGCTGGTTGGAACTGCCAGCAGTTGTGTTGAATGAAGTGATGTGAAGTAGCTGTTTTTAAGTGAGAGAGTTCAGTTGTCAGTTGGAAGTTTGCCTGTAAAGAGAAGACTAGGAGGTTGGTGTGAAATGGCCGCCATTCTGGGGCCTAGTTATTTGAGTTGGTAGTTAACAAGAGTTTTGCAAGAGCGGCTGTGACATGAGGACCTGCGTAAAGAAGCTGAAGAATATATCTCAGTAGAAGTATTTTGCCAGGAAACAGCTAGTGGAGACTGTAATAAACTGATACACTAGTCTGTGTGTCAGTGAACTGTAAAGTGTGGTTCTGAGTAGTGTACATAAGTGGTCAATAAATCCAATTCACCGATCCATAACCTGTCTACAGTCACACACTAGTAAATCATGATATTCTGGTGTCAGAAGTGGTTGGATTGAACACTGCATTGGATTTTGATCGTTATACTGCCACACTATGAAAGTGAAACAAACGATGGCATGCCTGCTGGCTGAAATAAAAACGATTCAAGAAAAGATGGAAACCAACAAAGAAGAATTGAAGGCCATATTGGAAGCCTGTCTAGATAAGGCGAGGGCCAACCCAGAAAAGATGAAAGTCGGCCTGGAAGAAATGAAGGTTGTAGTGAACCATCAGGAAGTCCCTAAGAAGAGGCTGCAGTGGAAACTATCAGAGCACTGGAGGGCTGACATGGGGACCAGCATCTAGCCATAGGGCTCCATTGACAGCAGAACAAACAGATCCAGGGCGATGGTGGGTCCCAGAAGTAGCTGGTTGCCACCCACAGATGGATGACCCACCATGCCCTTCCTGCACTGCACAAGGGACACGGTCGTCAGGGACAAGGTAAGGACGATGCTGTACAAGGAACCTTGAAAGGACAGACGTTTGGAAAGAGACAATGAGTGCAACCAGAATGCAACAATGGAATAAGGGACCGAGGCACAATCCGGCAGCTATGTCTGAGGAAGGAGACTACAACCGGTAGTAGGACGAAGCAGGAGACAAGAGCTACATTTGGGAAGCCAGAAGACATTATATGAGATCCTCAGACAAACTCTCAAGTTGGAGGTCGTGAAGCAAGCAGTCAGCCCACTCCAAAACAAAAGAAGAGCCTACTAGCAGTTTTAGAGTAGGAGCTATAGAGGTAAGGGCATTGACACCTCTCGGAGCTTTTGATTGTGCCAACCAGAGGAAGATAATGGCGATAAACCTGGTCTGGCTAGCTCAGGATGAGTGGCTTTAAGGAGGGAACAGAAGGAGCAGTTGGAGAGTAAACACCTCAAAAAACCGAGCAACAGTTAGGAAGGTGAGACCAAGCATGGATGTCACAATCACAACCCTTGGAAAAGAAGAAATGGTGGTACACCTCCAGGCTACTTTGGACGGATAGCCTTAAGGGAGCAATGTGAGGTACAGACCCATTGCTAAGCAGTGAATCTGCAAAACAGCAGCCATTGCTAAGTAACACACACAACAGAACAATGGGGTTATGCAACCTGTTTATAAGCTATTCACTTCATTCTTCTTAGAAATTCTACTACTGGTAAGGCTGGAACTAATAAAAATTTCATTGACTTTTCTAATACCAGCAAAAAGAATGAAATTCAAGAATCTCCCAATTCACCAATTTCAGCATCTGTCTAATACATTTCAAAATGTCTACCCTCGAAACCAGAACAGAGCAATAACAGAATATCTGACTGTGTGGAATGGCCTTCTGTCATTCAGGCAATACATACCACTAAAGGTTGCCAAGTTTGGTGTTTCCTTATTTATAAAGGAAATCACAACCCTTGGAAAATAAGAAATGGTGGTACACCTCCAGGCTACTTTGGACGGATAGCCTTAAGGGAGCAATGTGAGGTACAGACCCATTGCTAAGCAGTGAATCTGCAAAACAGCAGCCATTGCTAAGTAACACACACAACAGAACAATGGGGTTATGCAACCTGTTTATAAGCTATTCACTTCATTCTTCTTAGAAATTCTACTACTGGTAAGGCTGGAACTAATAAAAATTTCATTGACTTTTCTAATACCAGCAAAAAGAATGAAATTCAAGAATCTCCCAATTCACCAATTTCAGCATCTGTCTAATACATTTCAAAATGTCTACCCTCGAAACCAGAACAGAGCAATAACAGAATATCTGACTGTGTGGAATGGCCTTCTGTCATTCAGGCAATACATACCACTAAAGGTTGCCAAGTTTGGTGTTTCCTTATTTATAAAGGATGTGGCATGAAACTGGCATTTCAGCATTTGAATGCAAAAAAACATTACAAATTCTTATAAAGGTAGTGGAACATTTTCTTGATCATGGACACACTATCTGGATGGACTATTTTCACAACTGTTCAGAGATGGCCTGATTCTTGAAATCCAAAGGCATAGACTGTGTCAGCACTTTATATGCCAATAGGAGAAATGTTCTCCTCCTCTGTAAAGAATAAAATACTGAAGAAGGGGGTGCACTGTAGCCAGCAATCAGGAGATGTAGGAGAACACACCTGGTAGGATAAGAAGAGAGTAATTGTGATTTTTACAAACCAAAGAGATGAAATACTCTTAAGTAAATAAAGCAAATAAGGAAAACACAAAACCTGCAGCTGTGTATGACTAGAATTTGAACTCTGAAGCAGCTGATCTCAAAGATCATATGCTAGAGCCTTGCTAGCTTGAGCAATAGAAAGTTTCTAAGGGGTACACATAATTATTCAAAAGGATAATCAATACAGTTATCCGTAATTCCATGATAATACTGTGATGCATTACCTTACATCCATTGCCACAACAACCGCTACAACCGGATCAGACACTTCCATGACAACGAACACATGGAAATTGTGGAGTTCCCGCAGCGACAAATTGTAGCAACGAACTGTCGTTGAGTAACAACAGGTGAGACGAAACACGTTACTGGTGTAATCTATAGGGAGCGTTCCTGAAGCAATGGATTGCCGAACATGTGAGATCGAACCTTGGCAAGGGGTGTCCTCTGCTGAGTCTGCGTGCGCCTTATATAAAGGGTCTGGCCTCGAACGGAAGTTGAGTATTGGAGTATTGAAGATTGATTATTGAGAAAAAGACAATCTTGGGATAGCCGCCACCAGAGACAGTTGAGATCCAACCATGGCCAAGGATAGTTGAGATGTCTCACTGAGTACTGGGCCAGAAGTCAAGTGATATTGCAAGTGATAAGTGTAAGAGTGAGTGTCCAATAAAGATTCACTAAATCCAAGACCCATGTGAAGTTATTTGTCACATGATATGCCAAACACGTGATAACTGGTGTCAGAAGTGGGATCAGTTCAGATTCTGAGGCGAATTTGGAAGAGTTATTAGACTAACGCCACCTCGAGTGTTATAATGCCACATGAGCTAAAATGGAGTCACAGCAGATGATGGAACTGCTGCTGAAGGAAATCAGAGCTGGCCAAGAAAAGGCGGAGATGGGCCACAAGGAACTACTGGCCAAACTGGAGGCTGACAGACAGGCCAACATGAAAGCATGGCGAGAAGAGATGACCATAATGAGAGACAAATGGGTGAATGACAACCGTGATGAGACGTTGGCCTGCCAAGAGATGGAGGCATGTCAAGAAAGCCGACCTCACTGGACAGGAAAACTGAGGCGGCACAGAAAGAAGAGGTCCCCGCAGAAGACGCCATGATAACGCCGGTCGGAGAACCGAGGAAATGGGGTAAGGACCGAAAACTGGCTGCGGAGCGCCACCGCTAGAAACTGAAAAATTCAACATGGGAAGATTGTAAACCCCAGAAGAAATTGGCCATGGCCCGTGGAGGGACAACATGCCGTGCCACAATAGACAGGAAGATGTCCCGTCGTGCAACAGTGGCACGATGCAAGAGAGACACCGTAAAGTCATTCATTACCCAGGAAAAGTGTCACCCACGGAGAATACTGGTCGCTTCTAGAACTAGGATGACCCACCGTGCAGGAGTGGCACGGGGCACAGATAATGCCGTTGGGAAAGTTTGTGCCAGGGACAATGTGGTATGAGGAACCCGGAAAGGATGGATGCACGGAGGGAGACAACAGATGAACCAGGAACCGAGACTTTGAGGAGCAGCTACGGCTTGGAAGCGAGAGGACAACAAACGAGAGCTACAGGAAGGGCATCGGGCTGGAAATCATGAAGTAAGCAGTAGCAATTTCCAGTAAATTATCGAAAATGAGACACTGGACAATGTGGAGGGGTTCACCCCCTCCAAAACGAAAGAAAGGAAACAGCCCACATGGGAGGAACTGGTAACCCAGAAGCACCAGCCTCCCCAGCAAGAATAAATGAGAAACGAATGAAAGTGAGGAATGAATGTGAGACAATGGGACCAAAAATCCTGGACCACAGAAGTGCTTGAGGGGAGCACTCTGGAAGAAGGGGGGCAGATGGAAGGAAGGCAAAATACTGAAGGAAAGGTGGAGTTAACACGCAGAAGATGGGCGCCTTTAGGAAACGAAACCAAGGAAGTACCATTAGGCTGTTTGGGGACTAACAACCTTTAGAAGGGAGCAATGTGACGCGTTACCTTACATCCATCACCGCCATAACCGCTACAACTGGAACGGACACTTCCACGACAACAAACACGTGGAAATTGTGGAGTTCCTGCAGCGACAAATTGTAGCAACGAACTGTAGTTGAGTAACAACAGATGAGACAAACATGTTGCCAGTGTAATCTATAGGGAGTGCTCCTGAAGCAACGGATTGCCGAACACGTGAGTCCACATGCGCCTTATATAAAGGGCCTGGCCTCGAACGGAAGTTGAGTATTGGAGTACTGAAGATTGAGTACTGAGAAGAAGACAATCTTGGGATAGCTGCCACCATAGACAGCTGAGATCCAACCACGGTGAAGGATGGGTGAGACGCTGCATTGAGTATTCGGCCAGAAGTCAAGTGATATTGCAAATGATAAGTGTAAGAGTTAGTGTCCAATAAAGATTCGCTAAATCTGAGACCCACGTGAAGTTATTTGTCGCATGACATACACAACACGTCACAATATACTGGTACACATCAAACAATAAGGGAACAGATTCCCTGAAATTCTGGCTCCTTCTGACACAAAATATCATACAGAAACATGGGTCTGCTGTCCCTAACCATGTACAAGTATATGGCTGTTCTTCAAGGGAACCACCTTGAAAGAGACTAACCGAATGTCACTTCTTAGAACAAAGTCCCGCTGCAGGAAAGAAAGTTAAGCCACAGGGGTGATGTATTATGCTAAGAACTTGGAAAATGAAGAGAAACAATTTATTGGCATAGCGAATGTGAATCAGGCTTGTGTACGGATGGGTGTTTCAGCTTTTACCGTTCTCACGGTCTTGTCGCTTGCAGATTTCTTATACTTTTTCTTCTACCCTGAAGATGGAGGCGATACGTTCCTCCGAAACGTCGGTTAACACCACATATACACGGTGCCAAATCCCAGAAGACTGCTTTCTTCATAGTCACCGCCGTGAAAGCCTCAAATCTTACTCAGCTATCACACAGTTCTCTGATTATGATCTTGTTACTTTCTTCATGGATATGAACCGCCCCCTTCCCCTTCTTCTCTCAAATGCTATTCATTATGAGAGCCATGAAGAGGAAAGAAGCAGCCCATCGTCGCTGGCTCTACTGCTGTGTTTGCATGCTCCCCGAGATAGACGTGGGGTATCCAAGCTATGTGGAGGAGCTACAGTGATATGTTGGCCCCAGATAACAATAAAGAAAATTTAATAAGAAAATAAATAAAGTACAGACATAACAAAGAAACACATAATTCTGGCAGAACACGGGGTACAACAACCCAATACACGATTTCTAAGCAATCTCTCGTTGCCAGAACTTGTGACACAAAATAAACCAACTCGCCCCAGTTTCCAACTTCCCTTGGGCTTTGAATGGGTTACCCCCTAACAAACACAAATAATACATATACAGGTAAATACAAAATGATAACACGCATCGCAACCGTCCTACCCAAAGGCTTGCGATGCGGGCAGCCTTACTTTACCAGCCAGCCAGATACCAAACCAAATTTTGAAGTAACCCAGCTGAAACGGAACTTCCAACAACAATCCCTGCTAGCTGGTAATCGTCTTCTCTGGTCAACGTCGTCCGACATACTGCACAGTAAGTCTCTCCTCGTTCCGAGACTAGGAGGTGGGATGGGGTCACGTGATGAGAGTAGTACGTCAACATTATTAGGGGTGGGGATGGAATCCGGGAATGGCAGCTGCCATGATGTCACGCCGAGAGCGAGCTGACCTTCAGCATGGCTCAGATATACAGAATGTTTGGTTAATAAAGCTATTAAAATCATAATTTATTCAGCTCTGTGTGAAAAAATTACAAAATTATCTCATATACATAACCAGCTGCAAAGGTTTAAATATTTTCAGGCAAAGCTTAAAGGGATGTACAAAGGACACAACCACAGTACAGTGCTGAGTGTGACGCTTACACATCTGCATTGAAGAGTTAAAATGAGTTTGAAATCTCCCACGGTAGAATCCAAGCATCTCACCTCATTTAGGACTTTTCTAATTTGGACCCCAACTTGGCTGCTCTGGCCAGTGGCATAGCAGTAGCACATTAAGTACCTTTACTGATTGAAAACTGCACAACGGAACATGGCACAAATGTGTTCTGCCTTGTGGGTGCTGCAACCCTAAAAGCCAATCACCAAACACTGAATGGAAAATGGGTCACCAAGCAAACTTTTATGTGTGCCACTGCAAACCAGGTGACCATATTTTTCAACCCNTCCCGAAGTTTGGCACATTCCTCCTGGGACACCCTGTATATGTAACTGACAGGATGATTTCAACTGGCATGTTTTACATTTCTGCACAGGAAATTTTTGTTTAGAAACATTTATAAATTCAAGTACTGTGTTACAGTGTTGTACTTGTACGATTAAACCCTGGGGCTTATATCACAGGACACACTTTATTTAAACTTATGCAAAAATTACATAATAAATGAAAAGGAATGCAGAGTAAGCAACTGTGGCCTACTCTGTCCATGATAAATGGAGACCTTTTATGCTATGTACATGAACAAACTTGAAAATTTCAACCTAAAGTGGGATGCACCATGACAAAGAGGCACCATTAACCCACAATCCATGTGAAATATAGAATTATGCAAAATACTCTGCTTTCAAAGTGTACAGTCTTAATGTTATATTTTAGCGTCCTGTTGCACTGATTTAAGTCCATGATTTATTTAATCCGTCTTGCAGTGCATACACTCATTTATTTCCTTCTCTCCCTCGCACTACATGTTTCGGCATAATAATGCCATCTTCAGGTGCTTACTTATCCACATCAAACCAGTTCATTGCATGCCATGTTCACACATTAAAATAA